CGAATAATGTGAAACCTTATAAACACACTGATCAGTCTGCATCCTACTCTGATCTTCCCTCAGCCACACTAAACGTGCACCGTTTACTTGGACAAGACATATCACTACCTTGCATCTCGCTTGTCGATATAAATAAGAGCAGTCACATACCGTTAGAGTCGACATCATTTGTCAGTCCAAACAAAAACACCACATGTTGTGAGCAGTATTTAGACAGTGCTGTTGATCCCAAACACCCAGCAATCTCACAATCGGCCATCCTGAGTAGCGGCCCACGGAGTACATGTAAGCCTGCCTACAATAGCCAGCCCGGTGATGTAGATCTTGACTACTCACCCAGACATATACCCCATCCCCCAACTAAGTGTGCACAAAGTGAACATCCGCTAGACACCTGCAACAGGCCTGTATGTAACCATATCGACCTTAGAAACTTTGATATAAACTCCGATAATCTCACCACTGGTAGACCTAAAAGCAGCCAAACAGAACTTAGCCTCACCCAAACTATTCAAGACCTATTACCTTACAAATATTTAATCAGTGTTCCAGAAAATCCCGATCTGGAAATTATAAAAAACACTGAAAAAGTAATTGACCATATATCATCTGAAGTGTTGAAAAGACTTCAGTGTATGCAGAATGTTATTGTGTATAATATACCTGATAGTACGAACATAAAGATTGCTAAAAATACTCTGCTACAAGAATGTGGATTGTCGCAATCTTGGTGTGTAACAAGAAGATTACGTAAGGCACACACTAAAGCCTCCTGTCCCATTCTATTTCAGTTTGGTAGCACCACTGAAGCTAATCACCTCCTCAATAGTCAGTCATTACTGAGGCGTATTCCAACATTTAAAAAGATTAGGATCATTCATGACAGGACCGCTATCCAGCGTCGAATCTGCAATGGAACACAAACTGATCAACCCAGCTTACGTAGCCGTGGCAGCTACAGCTCTTGTCACTGCACAAACCCTAAAATATCATACACTGCCCCCCCAAAAAACGGAGGCACGTCGGACACTGCTATTAGTCCTAAGGACAAGACCGCACATAAAGCAGCTACAACCACTCACCCTCAGCCCAGACACTCAGCTACCCCAAAATGCCAAACCACTTATGCCTCAATAGCGTCCAAGTATTACCCTAGCGGCCCTTATAAAATGCCTAAAAATGATCCTCCCAGGGATCGCGCTAACAGCTACAGACCCGCAGACACCGCTGTGCGAAATAATACCAAACTCTCCGTAAAAACCCACCAATACTCCAGCACCCCTAACCCAAAACATGCACCTTCTCATAGTAATAGAATGCCCTACAACAAACATAGTGAACTGGCAACACCCACTCATCCTAATGTGAAACGACACTCGACAAGAACCACACCCACACGTGATACCCATAAGTCATATGGTGTCAACCTTGTAAGCCCCATGAACCAACACAAAACTATACACAACAGAAACACCTCTCCTGGCAACAATAACAGGCATTCCTTCATCCCTTACCAGAAACATACAACCTCCCCAACTAACCACAATAGGACTAAAATTGCCCACCGCACACGAGGAAGCCATAACGCTGGCCTACTTGGGAACCCACCTACAGATTCTAGGTACTATCTAAGTCAAGCCACCCAATACAACGGTTTAGTCCCCCCTAATTCGACATGCACACTATCTCATCCTTTTTTATCTCTCTCCCCCTCAACATTACTGCTATGGGGTCTCCAAATGTTGAGGGCGACAATCCCACTATTCTGAAACCATCTATATACTCCGATTTAATGGGGAGTAGCACATCCTACTCAACTTCGATAACTGTCTCTAGTCTTGAAAACTCCTTGACTGAACCCCCTGATCATTCCCCGGACACATTACCTAATCATTCGACTCTACCTTCCACTCTTAGACATACTTCTTTCACCAAAACCACACCCGACTACCCTTCTTGCATTAACCCTAATGGTAATAAACTAAACACTCATCAATATGGAGTCAACGCTCCCAATTCTTCCTTTTCTCAGGGCAAAACAGACAAACCACTCGGTTTACATCATACCCTTCTACTAGACAAACAGTCACCGTACCTGACACTTATGTTAATCAACGCTCGATCTGTACAAAGTAAGATGACTTACCTACGCACCCTATTGCTTTTAAACAACCCCTCACTTGTTTTGATAACGGAAAGTTGGCTGTCCTCCGATACCACAGACACATTTCTACAAATAGACACCTATGAGCTCTTCCGCTGTGATCGAGTCACCAAGAAGGGTGGTGGTTGTCTCGTTTATGTATCAAAAAATTTGAGAGCGGAAACCTATAGCGACCACGTCCTCAGCAAACTTCCTGAATCGATATGGCTTACTGTGCACACTCATGAATGTAAAATACTAATCGGATGCATATATCGAGCTCCTAACACTCCTAGTTCAACTGACACTATTATAAGTGAGTCATTTGCTCAGGCTGCCTCGCTTGACTTCACATACAAAATTGTATGTGGTGATTTCAACCTTCCCACCATCAACTGGAAGACACATTCTGGCCCATTGTGCTTTGAAAGCATACTTAGGTCCTTAGACATACACGGCTGGCAACAACATGTACACCTGCCTACACGAAATCACAACATTCTTGACTTGATATTCTGTCATAATGTCACACCAACATCAATGGTGGTTAGCGAAAAGTTTCACAACAGCGATCATAAAATAGTCCTCTGCACCCTTCCGATTCTTGCCATATGCAACAAATTAAAGACATTAAAAACGCGATTCCAATATAGAGACTATGCAAACGCTGACTGGGAAAACTTTCGATTTCTAATAAAGCACTCTGACTGGGGCAGTTTCTTTACCAGTAATAACCTCTTAGAAACATTAGAAATATTCAATATCACCACCAAATCTGCACTAGACACTACTATACCCTCTAAAATTGGTTTTAAAACAGTTACTCCCTATATAAACCAAAAGACTAGGTCTAAACTGAGAAAACTGAAAAGGATGTACTATATATCAAAAGACTTCAGTGCCCTGCACCAGATATACTCTGTACTTGACGGAGTACAAAGTCAACACAACAAGCATAAACAGTAGAGGAACGTACTGCGCTCGCTGCTGCATCTAAAGCCCAAGCCCTATGTCGTCTCCTCACGAAACGCATAAGAAAGAACACAGACAACAACATTCACTCCTTACTGCACGATGGAGTAACGTATAATGACCAAACCGTCATATGTGAACTATTAAGTGAATGGTTTTCTCACAATGGGAATACATCTGATGCCCCAGATATCGACATAAAGTGCACCGGCAAAAACTATCTTAGTACCATAAACTTCGACATTAGGAGTATACATACCGCCATTAAAACCCTTAAGCCAAATGCGAGTTCTGGTGCCGATGACATCCCTTCAATCGTTTATAAAATGTCAGGGCCGGACATACAGACGCTACTACTCAAAATATACACATTATCTTTAGAGACAGGTACATATCCGGAAACCTGGAAGGTACAACGGAACAATGCAAGAATAATATTTGATCAATCAAACAGGTCTGAACAAGTTGATGTATGTCATTTCTGTCAAGGTGATTCATAAGTGATAAGTATGTAAATTTGTGTATGTATGTATGTGTGCATTGTTTAAGAATGAAAACTGTGTGACCTATATTGTAAGAAAGGATAGAGTTTAAATTTGTAATATGATAGTGTGAAATTGTAAATACGATCAGACTGAATGGTTAGGATAGATGGACCATCGTATTTAAACAATGCACACATACATACATACACAAATCTACATACTTATCACTTATGAATCACCTTGACAGAAATGACATACATCAACTTGTTCAGACCTGTTTTTGATTGATCAAATATTATTCTTGCATTGTTCCGTTGTACTATTTAAACTTGGATTAATTTAATTTGGTTATTTATTCTCTGAACAAGTGACTTACACTAAGCCACGAAACGTCAGAAAAATCCAATTTTCTACTCATTGGGATATTACAACTATGTTATTTTATTTATATCAGAAGAGTGTTTACCAACGACAAACTCGTTGGGTTTAAACTTCTGGCTGGCCACGTCTTAGGGTCGTCACTGCCCCACTAGGGGGGGGGAGTGATCTGTAGCGGTAAATAAATCCACAAAATAAGTAGCTCTAAGTTTTCGACATTGGATGCTGCCCATATGTTTTAGTGGACTCATCTAGCTGAAGGCGCTCGGTCATGCATCCGCACTAGATCACGTGTGGTAACGCTGTGCTCAACATCTACGGCAATCGCTAGCCAGATTAGATCAGAGAATTCCAATATATTGGTAGTCGCCAAATACACTCTTCCGATCTCCTCGACTCTGTCTTTTGATTTCTCTGGGTGGGAAAGAATTATATTAGTAGGTGTTACTGGTAAAAGCGTAGTCAAACACTGAATACCTGTGTCATCTTCAAGAAAAATTTATGACAACCTGAAAGTTACTAAGCATTCTTAACTAATTAAAAAGTAAAATCATGTGGCGAATTCAGAACCAATTTTCAAAATGCCGTTTATTAAAGTTCAAACAACTAAACGCATTTCAACTACTTAAAAATGAGTTTTTTTCCACATCACGGTTTGTCAGCTAACAAAGAACTATTCCTATAAAAAGAAAGTTTACTCACGAACAATTCAGAAAAATTCATAAAATTCTTTCTACGGACAGATTAGTTGTTGGAAAATACAACCTTTGTAATCATCGTGTTCCCTTACGAATATTTTAGACATTGTTTCTTGATCACATTTTTATTTCAAGTTTCTATCGTTTTTCTTCGTTTTTTGCACAGTAAGATATACATTTTGATTATATATTGATTGTTTCTCTATGAATAAATAAATTTTTGATTCCTCGAATAGACATTGATTATTGGATCGATGTCTACTGAGGTCATGATCGGTGTTTATTTTGAGATTCTTCGTTACTTTTTATAATTTAACAGAGTAGCTCTGTCTTACAGGTATTTCACCGAAACGTCATACTAATTTTTTCATTCTATAATATTTCATTCCTGATGTTCGAATTTTAGGACGAATGTCACTTGTTTTCACCTATTTTCTAGGTTGAAAACATCTGAACTGACATGGTCATTTAGGTTTATTTAACTTTTTGACCAAATAAACAATAGTCTTTTCTTCGAAATTTGAAGTCCGTAGTCGATGTATGTGTGTTGGTCATTACACAGGTTATCTTACACTTTCCGTTGGTGGATATAATAATCGCTGACCAACATAAATTCTGTTTTTTATTGCACTTCCCAAGTATCGGTCTCCCAGTTATTCACCTTTATGTACTTAATAAAACATTCGGGCTATATATTAGATATTTACAACCATAATCTTAAACGTATATGGTTTAGTGTCGATTTTAAAAACTTATCCGTTATTTTTAATTGTCAAAATGTACTTTACTAATACCATCTTCATAATTTTTTACCAGTCCCATTTGCTAGTGCTTGCTACTGACGCTCAGTCCATTTTCTAACACAAAGGTGAAACCTCATTTATTGTAACTATACTTTCTCAAACTTCTATGAACATTACTACTAATTACATAAACTAATCATAGATAAACCTAAATGCATTTAGATTTCTCTGTTCTATCAATGTAGCTAAAAATACTGTTTACTTTTAAGCCATAGGAAAAGCGAGTTTTATGCATACCAAGGGGTTACTGCATTCCATAGTACAATCTTTTTATCTCTCGACCATGAATTGTAATCCTTAGCGGCAAAGTACGACTAAGTCCAATGATAGTTTGATCAACCTAGCAATGAAGTGCTTTTTAACTAGTCGTAAACACATCGAGAGCCCTGGTCTGGCCGACCACACTGACATATATTCGTCATGTAATTTCGTATTGGCCAATCGTTCTATGCAATGCAATAAAACTATTCAAACTTATGATTGATATTTAATTTTTCTGGTTTAAAACGTAATATAGTTTAACTAAGTGCAATCCGCACTTAATCAGTTGGCAATCAGTGTCCGTAGGTATGGTATGTGCTTTGCACCTTCGAAGTGCAAAGTACTTCTACAAGACTGGCAGGATTCTAATCCTGTACTCACCCTGGACGGTGAGCAGATAGACGTAGTTGAGAAGTTCGTGTATCTGGGTAGCTGCATAAGTGCTGGTGGGGGTGTGAGTGATGAGATCAATGCACGAATAGTGAAAGCCAGAGCGGCTTATGCCAATCTGGGCCACCTTTGGCGCCTTCGTGATGTTAGTCTGGCTGTAAAAGGTCGGATCTACAACGCGTCGGTGAGAGCAGTTTTGCTCTATGCTTGTGAAACCTGGCCTCTCCGAGTTGAGGACGTTAGACGACTCTCTGTTTTCGATCATCGCTGTCTCCGAAGGATTGCTGACATTCAGTGGCAACACCATGTCAGTAATGCAGAGGTTCGGCATCGTGTGTTCGGGCACAGAGATGATAACTCAATTGGTGTCACCATCTTGAAACACCGACTTCGATGGCTTGGACATGTCCTACGAATGTCGTCCCAGAGAATTCCACGTCGTGCATTATTTGCCGACTCTGGGGCTGGTTGGAAGAAGCGGAGAGGTGGTCAGTGCATGACATGGTGTCGTGGCATGAAAGAAAGCTGCAAAGGACTGGCTTGTGTTGGTCCTTCACGACTCCCTGGCTGGGGTCCGAGAGATGGTGCTACACAGTGGCTAGAGACGTTATCAGATATGGCTCAGAATAGAAGCCAGTGGCGATCCTGCTGTAACCTTCTTTTACTTTCTTCATAAAAAGTGGTTGTGTCTCCCTTACCTGAAAGATTTCTTCTGATTGTACCTCTTCGTCATTACTCTCTTTTTCTTTTGCGTTCCTTAGTTTTTTTTTCTCTTTCTACTTCTCTTCGAATTCCCATTGTTTTGTGTGGCGCATATATATTGGCGCTCTCTTTTACCAATATTTATGTGTTCAAATAATAATAATAAATAATAATAGTTTAACTCATGGTTAATAGAATATGAAAATCTTGGGTTATCACTTGATAATTGATCCTTTTCCAGATTAATTTTAGGGTATAATAGACTGAAAACACTAATGAACTCTTGATACGAATGAAGTAATGAAAAAGTCTGAATCTCACTCGAGTTTCGTCGAATGGCGATTTATGTTCATCCCTCGGATTATAGATAAATAGGATGCAAAAGATCAATTTACATTTGCATGTTGAACTCAACGATGAGTGAAAAGTTCTGACACCATGGTGACCAATGGTAATGGCTCTTCGAAATTGAAAAAAATTAAAGGATAATATAAAACAAGTGATTAAACATTCTTGGTTCTCAGATGGGCTTGCCTTAAAAACTAGTTACCTAAACCATTGTTGAGTGACAAACTAATCACTCATTATTCGTAAGCACCTCAAGTTATGGAGTATGGTGATTAAACTTTTACCTGTAGTTTTAGTAATCATCCATTTCTCTGTAATCCATCCATAGGTTACAGGAGACACTGATATTGCCCCTCAACATTTGGTTGGACTTATAGATATTTTGTCATATCTTCATTTCTTATTTGACGACTTAAAACATTTATGAAGATTTCCCATAAAGCTTTACTTACACTTATAGTTTCCCCTAAACGATATTCTACTTTTGGTTGATATGTTTTAGATATGTCGTCTGGGGACAACAATTCACAACATAAAGAGAGTTTAATGCATGAAATCAATGCATTGTTTGCTCCACCAACAAATGAATCATACGGTAAAAAAGGTTCACTCGGTATTGTAAGTTTTTTTGTAATCTTACCTACATATAAATATTTAATTTTTATTAGCCTTCTTTTCGTCGTGCAAGAAAAAATAACGAATCAACGACAAACAGTTCGGAAACAAATAATTCCAGTTTAGAGCACTACCAACTACCAAATACATCAAAAATGATCCATTTTGGAGGAAACCTCGTGCTAATTGTCATGAATATTGTGATAGTTGTGGTTGTATTGAAGGCGAAAGACTTGTCTGCGATCGATGTCCAGCCAGCTTTCACCTTGAATGTCTTGATCCACCATTAGATCCGGATGAAGCACCTGTTGGTGTCTGGTTTTGTCATCGATGTTCAATGGTATTGAAAGTACGTCAACCCGGACTTCATATTTATCAATCAAATATTTACTTTGTTCAATGACAGTTAAACGATGATACTAAGTTGATAACCTTCATTCGTTTAACATAAAACGTCTGATTTTACGTTAAGATTATGTTTTTTAACTTGACTATTTATGTTACTAGACTATTTGTAAGTAACTGTAGTTTCAAGTTTATGTATATAGAATATTGCTGACCCTTTAGAATCATATAAATCACAAGTGTAGGTGATTTGTTTCTATACAGAAACTGCATGGTAACATATTTGTTGCCAGAAGTGAGCATAACTTCAGGTGTACAGACTTTCATGAAAATCTAATATGATTTATCGGCTGTTTAGTGATCTCTAATTTTCAATGGTTTTTCGGTTAGTATCTGGCTAGAATGATGGCCATTCTCAAATGTCATTTCTTTAAGTACCTACGTAATTAAACAAAAATCAGGTGAAGTCCTTTGGCGTTCTTTCTCATTTTCTTTTTCTGTGTGTTGAAATGTAAAGTTTGGCAGCTTTACGTGTATCATGTTCGTTCCAGGTCTTACGTTGCTTGTACCTGGATGTCTGTAAAATATAAGCTCATCTGTTCAAATAGTCTGAGTTAACAGAAAGATTTGTTAATTAGATTCATCCTATTGGTATTTTTGTTTTACAAATATGCATATTAGACACATCACATATATTTACCAGCCGATATTTTTCTTCATTTTCAAATTTATTTATTCATTCCCTTTTTAATATATAACAGGATGAAGAAGATAAAACTTCAACATCAAGTAGTCAGACAACTATAGCTACAGATACAGGTTCTTCACGTTCTGGTAAAAGTGGACAAAAACGCCAAGATCATGCATCATCATCATCATCAGTTGGAACTACAACAACAGCAGCAGCAGTTGGACCATCAACTTCCACTTCCACATCTTCCATCAATAGTAACAATAATAATAGTCATTCTCACCAACAAAATCCATTACAACAATTTATCCAATCACAAACTAGCAAACGTCATTATACATTCCGTTCGACGTTTAACGAACAATATGTTTAGATATGAATAAATTATCGAGTAGTCGTTCTAGTACTTGGGGTGATTCAGCGTATGTTGCTGATATTGAAGAATCTGAGCTAAGAGCATTATGGAAAGTAATTGAATATGCGAAATATCAAAATCCAAAAGAATATGATCTACCGAAAGACTTATTACCTGGTGTTAAGCTTCCTGGTAAGTATAAATGTAGATGGGTCTTTTCACACTAAATTCATAATGATACCATTTTAATAAGTTTAGCTGAAACCTAATTTATGTTATTTTAACTGAATTCCTATTCCTAACGACATAGTTATTTAATCTCCATATGCTTTGTTTAAAATATTTCTAAAAGTTCTCGGAAGCTAGATTTTTACCTATTTTTTCGTTTAATTGTATGCGTAAACAATTTTCCTAATTTCAGTCCATCAGTCATCATTAAGGTAGAGAATTGGTCGGTCAAGTGGCGAATAAGATCAAATACATCAGCACAGGAGATCAACAGTAACCCTAGCTTTGTACCATTCTTGGAGACTTCAATAATCCCACAAAAATAAATTGATTTACTTTTAAAGACTCATCTTCACAAATAGCTTCCAACATTTTATGAATTTTCCAGAAGTTTCTCCGAAGTGTCACCCTAAACCTAAATAGTTTAGTTAACACATTTATGGACAAATCTCAAGTATTTTAGGTTTAATTTTGTGTTCAGCCTTGTATATCTACAGCTGATTGAGTATTCAATCAGGAGCGAAACAATTGTTCGAACAATAGCACCATAGTTTATAACTTAACAATTAAATTATGTAACTGCATATAAATCTTGTTCAAATCCATTTATTTATTGAATTAAAAAAAGTATTTCATCACTATACTGGTGGTTCATCTAAAAAATCCTCGTGCTTGTTTTATATTTTCTTTTGTAGCCTAAAGATAGACATCCAACTACAAGAAATATAAAAGGCTTGATATATTATTATTATTTTATTATTATTTTAACACATAAATATTGGTACAAGGAGGCACCAAATACATATGTGCCACACAAATTTCATTTGATATGTGTGAGGGCTGGGATACTGCTCGGATGCCCAGACCGAAGCAGGTGGTTTTCTTAGGGGGCCACTTCCCGAGCCTTCGGCCTAAAGGTCTGACCCACAAGGCAGTGGAGCATCGTAAGGAGATGCAGTTTCATGGAAGCCGGTGACCAACGATTGGTTCAGACGCCATTTATTCCTTCAGGATACTGGAGCCCATGTGCACCATTGGTTTGGGATCCGGTTAAAGCGCCGAACATTCGATTTTCGTCCTCCCGTTTTCGTAAACAACAGTAATGCCACGAGAAGGCAGTGAGTAGGACTTCCCTGACAGAAGCTATATACGCGTGGCCATGTGAGAGCATTTCAAGAGGGAGAGCGGACTCTCTCCACTCTGCCATACCAGGGCATTTGGGGGCCTTGATACATTAAGTATATTTCTTTTTCATCTCACTTGCTGACTGCTGTGTATTGTGGGATAATTCACTACAGTTCTGATCTAACATAGTTTTTGATCGAATAGTTAGATAATTGAGTCGTATATTTCACGTAATCATATATTTTGGTCTAATATCTACTACTAGTGATCTGAACAATCTAAAGCTCTATCCGTTATAACATAGGCTACCTTCATTTTGAAATATTAGATATGTTTTAGTGTACAGTAGTCTAGAGTAATCTGCTTATTACCAAACAACTGTCTATTTTACATTTGTTTACTAGTGGCTTCCTTTACGAAAGAATAGAGTTACTGATTAGCTTAACTTGGCTTATGTCATTATTAAAGAGGATTTTGATTGTTCTGTTATTGATAATCATGATTCAATTTTGATCAGTTTTCGTTGAAACATGGGCTTCAATATGACTGTTTTCCACAAGTTTTTCTAGAATAGATGCATTTATAGCTAGTAGTACATCCCAGAACGCGTGTTTCGTTCTATATGGAACTCATCGCATGAATATACATGCATCCCAGTACTGATGTTTACACTGAGATTCAAACAACAAGCTAATTCAAGTTTCTTCTAATACTGATATAAATGTCACATCCATATCACAGGTAAGTGGCTATCTGGATTTAGTAGCTCAGTAAATAATGCATTAGGTTTTTGAAGCGAAATGTATTGGTCCCGAGTTCTGATGTGGATACGAATACCGGTATACGAGTATATCTAACTAACTAGTCTCAACTACAATAAAATGTCCATTATATGTTTCCTGGCTAAATACAAATACACCTGTACTACGTAAATCGGTTCTCGATTTTTTTACTATTCAAAACTAAGGAAGAAATTAATACACCACTTATCTTGTTCATCTGGGCTTTTTTTTCTGATTACTTGTTAAGGTTCATATAAAACACCAACAGAACGGAAAAATAAAAGTATCATCGAATTAGAGAATGGTCTTATTCCACAACCTGTAAGACGTTGTTATGTATGTGTTCGGTAAGTTTAAAATCATATTTATGATTATATACATGTGTACATGATATAATACTCACATTATTCAATTGCTGAATGTTATCACAAGTTGTTTTTATTTACATTTATTATTGTCTTATTCCAAATTTGTCCGAGTTGATGTAGCTTAATCTAAGTTAAACACTAACCAACAATCAATGTGTTTTTAAACTTACTTACTTACTCACGCCTGTTACTCCTCGTGAAGGAGCATAGGCCGCTCACCAGCATTCTCCATCCAACCCTGTTCTGGGCAATACTTTCCAGCTCTTTCCAGTTATTCATCCTTTTCATATCTGCTTCTATTTCCCGACATGTGTTCTTTGGCCTTCCTCTTTTACGCTTCCATTCAGGATTCCAAGTTAGTGCTTGCCTCGTGATGCAGTTTGATGATTTGCGTATTGTATACCCTATCCATTTCCATTGTCTTTTCCTAATTTCTTCAGCTGGAAGATGGTTTGTTCTCTCCCATAGAAGGCTGTTGCTGATCGTATCCGGCCAATGGATGTTGAGTATCTTGCGTAGACAACTATTTATAAATACTTGTACCTTCTTGATGGTGGTTGTAGTAGTTCTCCATGTTTCAGCTCCGTACAGTAGAACTGCCTTGACGTTTGTATTGAAGATCCTCATTTTGATGTTGGTTGAAAGTTATTTTGAGTTCCATATGTTCTTCGATTGTAGGAATGCGACCCTTGCTTTGCCAATCTTCGCCTTTACGTCTGCATCTGAACCTCCTTGTTCATCGATGATGCTTTCTAAGTATGTGAAGGATTCTACATCTTCCAGAGGTTCGCCATCAAGAGTGATTGGATTGCTGTTCTTCGTTTTGAATTTGAGGACCTTGGTTTCCCCCTTGTGTATGTTGAGGCCTACTGATGCAGAGACTGCTGCTACACTGGCTATCTTTATCTGCATTTGTTCGTGTGTATTGGATACGAGGGCTAGGTCATCTACAAAGTCCACATTGTCTAATTAGTTTTGAGCTGTCCATTGTATGCCATGTTTTCCCTCAGATATCGAGGTCTTCATAATCCAGTCAACCGCCAGAAGAAAGAGAAAGGGAGAGAGTAGACAGCCTTGTCTAACTCCGGTCCTTACTTGGTAGTCTTTAAACTAGAAACTCAAAAATGTTCCTTGTTCTTTGTTAGTAAAACACTGACAAATTCATTTCTTATTGCTTTCTCAATAATAGTAATAAATAGTTTTTAATGCTTCTAAAAATCGCTTTCTGAAAATACAAATTATAGGTCTTAGAATTTAGGTTTATGCATGTTGTTTAAAGATCTAATAACGATTGAAACCGTATCCTCTTTGTATAGATTTGGTTAGAAATGTTTTAGAGATAAACCATTTTCTAACACTGTATCTTTTTGGAGTGGTCAGCCAATAAGTCTCAGGTTCAAACGTCGTTCTACATACTTCGGTCTGCTCAATCGATGATTCTAAGTAACTCGAAGCCAAGTACAAGAATATCTGTACCTAGTAAACGAACTGACCACTAATATATGTCACTGGGATATTTTACTTTTAAAACTGAACACAATATCTATCACTAGAAACGTTAGAGCAACACTACCCACCATAATACTGTGTAAAGAGAACTACCACTGAAGTGGTCATTCATTGAGTTACAAAATGGTTACTAACTCTTTTTTTTGCTTTTCCCGTCGTTAATATGTTTAAAACATACGATATATATTAAGGCTATAGTTTGTTTAAAGAATCTACTCGGTCAGTCAGTCAGCTGTAACGTAGGACCAGGCACATATATGCATCGGTCCAAGTTACCACATCGCATTAGTACAACAAGATGAACAACAACTTTATAGAAGTAGCTACTCCAATGGTAGTAATATATAAAAGAAAGATTGTGTATAAGGATATAATATAGGAAGAAAGAATTAGTTGGTAGAACGAAAGGCATAAAGTAATTTCAATCTCATGGTTCAAGGAAAGACGGAAAGTGTATGCACATCGATGCTGAGTCATGTCACCCAGAGTCTCCAACGATTGGATACGATAGTCACTTGGACCCCAACTAAATAGTCTGCATCTATTAACATGGCTCAGATTATAAGTTATTATGTTATGGACTGATACCACATTTTGGTTTCCTGCCTCTAACTTTCGTACATCCGTCTCCAACACTGGTATACGTAACACATGGCCCGACCATCTCAGTCGATGAAGATTTACAACTCCGCGGACTGATTCACCATCATTCCCTAATACCATGTGTCTAACCTCACTATTAATTACCCGGTGATCTCAGCAGATGCGAGCAATATTTCTAAGACATCTGTTGTCAAATACTAGCAACTTACGAGTATCTTCTACTCCTAATGGCCACGTTTCACAGCCGTAAAGTAACTGGTAAATACTCATCAAATAACCATGCCATTTTATACTACTATCATTGTATATCACTAAGTCATGAATAACATTAAAGCAATCTAAGTTTTAATTCATTATTCAAGCCTTCCTCCCTCTGCACTCCTTCAGCTTCCCAAATATTAACATTTGTAGAGATAATATAATCGGTTATTGTTTTAGCATGGATATCAAAACCATTAATTTGTTCGGTGATTACCCCTTTTAATGACAATACGCTCTGATAATCATGCTATCGCAAGTTCAGATTCAAGATCGTACGTGGTTACATACTACGATAATTTGTTTTTCAGTTTGCTATGTCTTTACTTATATTTGAGCGAAGAAAATGTGTGCACATCGAAACGCTAAATACTTACTTACGCCTGTTAACCCCAATGGAACATAGGTCTCCGACTAGCATTCTCTAACCCACTGTGTCCTGGGCCTTCCTTTTCAGTTCATTCTTTTCATGCCTGACTTCATTTACCGGCGTAATGCGTTGTTTGGTCTTCCTGTCCTCTTTTGGTTTTGAGGATTCCAGGTGAGGGCCTGCCTTGTGGTGTAGTTGGGTACTTTCCTCAATGTATGTCTTATCCACTTCCAGCTCTTCTTCCTGATTTCTTCCTCTACTGGAATCTGGTTTGTTCTCTCCCACAGTAGATTTTTGCTGTAGAAAACTAACTCGCTAAAAAACACTAAATAAACATCTCAATCACACTTGGACTAATCACAATATTCTTAATATTCATAGTTATACCCTCAAAATTTATCGCTAAGGTTAAGCTCAAAAACTACCATCTTTTTAATGCAAGTCGAATGAATGGCCCCCAAATGCCCTGGTACGGCCGAGAGTGGGGAGAGTCCGCTCTCCCTCTCGAAATGATCTCACATGGCCACGCGTATATAGCCTCTGCCAGGGAAGTCCTACTCACTACCTCCTCTTGGCGGGGTTGTTGTTTACGAAATTGAGAGGACGAAAAGCGAACGTCCGGTGCTTTAACCGTGTTGGTGGATCCACTTAATGGGGTTGGAAAACCCTCACTCCAAACCAATCGTGTACATAAGCCCCAGTTTCTTGAGGGAACAAAAGGCGTATTAACCTATTGTTGGTCACTGGCTACCATGGGATTACATCTCCCGACGTTGTTCCACTTCCTTGTGGATTAGACCTTAAGGTCAAAGGCTCCGCGTCTGGCCCCTAAAAAAACAAATTGTTTCGGTTTGGGCACCCGGGCAGTATCCCAGCCCTCACACATATCAAATGAGATCTGTGTGGCGCATATGTATTTGGTGCCTCCTTGTACCAATATCTATGTGTTAAAATAAATAAATAAGTCGAATGAATTAACCTATGATAGGCTCTAGTCAATCTGAAACCTAAGGTTATTATAACAATCAGAAAACATAAAAAGTATGAATTAGGGTTTCATAATAAATGCTAGGACTAGGATTTAAGCTTTAAGATTATAATTTATGTATCCAACTATTCGTTCAAATAATTTATTTCTAAACATTTGTTTTTCAGAACATGTTTCTATGCTCCTTTGTTACCATGTGATTATTGTTCATCATGCTTTCATTTAGAATGTTTAAATCCACCATTATCTCATTTTCCACCACGTTCTGATCGATGGATGTGTCCAAATCATACAGAACATACAACTGAACGTTATTTAACTCGTTCAATACGATTAACTGAACGTATGCAAATTTGGACTAAATTATATTCATCATTAAATAATGAAAATAATCATTATGAACAATCTATTGATAAAACTGATGAAATGACAAAAATACTTGAACATATACCTCCATATGAATTAACTTATACACCAGATGAAGAAAGTTCTATACTTTCTGATTTAATGCGTACTATTCAACGTAGTAGAAATGAACAACAACAACAACAACAACAGCATCAGTTATTGTCATCGAATTTATCCAATACAGCAATGTCAAGTATTTTCGATTCTATACTATATACTACTAATAATACTACTACTATTGAAGATAAACAACATATATTGTCCAATCGTCATATATGGCGTTTAAATCGTGAATTAGCAGCAAAGTCTAGAAATAACCAAAATTATTATGGTAAACAGATAAGAATTGTGGTAAGTATCCTACAATTTTATATGTCAGTTAATCAGTCAGCTACAACGTAGGACCAGGCAACAACAAGATGAACACTGGATTTATAAAAGTAGTTAATTCAGAGGTGGTAATATATAAAAGAAAGATTGCAATAAGGATATAGTACAGGAAGAAAGAATTAGTTCGTAGAAAGAAAAATATGAAGTGATTTTAATCTCTTAGTTTAAGAGAAGATAGAGAGTGTATACATCCACGCCATTATGATCGATTTTGAGTTATGTAACTCACAGTCTCCAAACATTGATTTTCATAGTCACGCGGACCCCAACTAAGTAGTCTGCATCTACTAACATGGCTCAGACTAGAAGCTAGTGTTCTACTGCTTATTAAAAGAATGAAGATAACGGATTTATCAAAATACACAAGGTTATATATTCGGCTTTGAGTTAAACCTATGTTTAATGTAACATCTAGTAATACTGATAAGCTTAGGAAACGGAAGTAGGTGTCATAAAATCAGGAATCTATTATTAATCCAGTGCTTAAACCGGATTGATATGAAGGATTCACCTAGGGAAGTTGGAAAATCCTGATTTCAAACTAATGGTGCACATGTGTTCCAAGATCCTGACGGTATAAATGGTGTTAGAACTTATTGTTGGTCATTGGCTATCATGTGTTTGGATCTCCTTCCGTTGCTCCTTTGCCTTGTGGATCACACCTTTAGGTCGAAGGCTCCCTTAAAAAAACCACCTGCATCAGTTTGGGCACCTGAGCAGTATCACAGCCCATACTCAAATGAAGTAGCGCATATGTATTCAGTGCCTCTTTTTAGCAATATTTATGTGTTCAAATAAATAAATAACTTTGAAATACCGATGTACCCCCTTATTCTATTGTCGGACCAATCAGTGTTAATTACCTAGTCGTCATGCTATTATAATTTTAGACTGATTTTTTTTAAAATGTATTTTTGTAAAATTTCAATAGTTCTTTACATTCGAAAACCAAAATACGGTTTTCTGATATAATTGAAGTATAGTGGAATTGTGGTGTGTGCTACTTATATTGACTTAAGTAGTATATGATGTTAGTCGTGAACAGAAGGTCTGACAACGGAGAGACAAGATGATCGAACAGTAAAAAATGGAAACAGAATGCAATTTGTATGAAAATGCAAGAACAATGAAGTCTGAGTCGTTTTAAGACAATTGGTGGACATTTTGCAAATTAAGCGTTTACTTTATGATTGTTAGATTTTATTAAAAAGTCCTGTAATTTTGTGTTAAATACATTCGATTGTCTCCACTGATGTTCTTGTTCACTACAGAATAACGGGCATTGATGTATGGGTGAGAATGATAAAATGACTGGTTGATTGCTATCGGATTGTGTCGGTTTTTGACGTGGAAATATATACATTCTAGTCAGGCTAATCACGTTCTTGATCTGAATTGTAAAGTCCTGTAGAATAGATACTGCGATAGGGAATCTAGTGTAGATATTCATCTAAAGTAAATTAACTTTATTGTTTTGATTAATGTTATTAATTCAGTTTTAGTAATTATATCCCTTATAAGATATATCTGTACTTTTTATCCTCTTATCTATCAAGGTACCAAAAGCAGTTAAACATTTATACAATAATCCAGTAAAACGTGTCCCACGTATTAATGAATCATCAAATGTATATCAATTAACAAATTTACTTGATAGTTCCAGTACAGATGAAAAGAGTATAGTAAGCTTATTCTTTTCTTGTTTAATTCCTTCCGTTATTGTTATGGTTTTGAGTTTATGTTTAGTTTGTTCGCTGTTTCTTTTTTTCTTTACTGTTTTTTCCGTTTTGATCATTTGTCACTTCCAATTGACTCAGACCCCTAAATTCCCCGGTACGGTCGAGAGTGGGGAGAGTGCGCTCTCCCTCTTGAAATGCTCTCACATGGCCATGCGTATATAGCCTCTGCCAGGGAAGTCCTACTCACTGCTTTCTCGTGGTGGGGGCGTTGTTTACGAAATTGGGAGGACGAAAAGCGAATGTTCGGCGCTTTAATCGGGTTGTAGGAGACGTAGGATCCATCTAAGGGGTTGGGAAACTCTGCTTCCAAACTAATGGTGCACATGGGCTTCAGTATCCTGAAGGAACAAATGGCATATAAACCAATCGTTGGTCACCGGCTACCATGAAACTGCATCTCCTTACGATGCTCCACTGCCTTGTGGATCAGACTTTCAGGTCGAAGGCTCGGGGTGTGGCCCCCTAAGAATACCACCTGCTTCGGTCTGGGCACCCTGACAGTATCCCAGCCCTCACACATATCAAATGAAATTTGTGTGGCACATATGTATTTGGTGCCTCCTAATACCAATATCTATGTTGTAAAATAAATAAATAAATAGATGCAGAGTATTACGAAATGCTTGCAAACTAGTCAATGAGGTTGTAAATTTTCATTGACTGAGATGATTGGGCCACATGTTATGTATGCCTGAACACCGATTACTTCGACGCACAATGTTGACGAATGTTGGAGACGGACGGGAGAAAGTTAGTGGCGGCCAAACCAAAATTTGACATCAGTACATAACGTCACTAAATTCAAGTCTGAGCCATGTTGGTAGATGCTGACGACTGGGTTGAGGTCCGAATGACTATTGTATCCAATGGTTGGAGACTGGGTGACATGACTTAGAATGGATCACAATGACGTAGGTGTATACACTCTTTGTCTTCCCTTAAACCATGAGATTAAAATTACTTTAAACCTTTTTTCTACAAACTATCTATTTCTACCTGTGTTATGTTAGTACACGCAATCTTTCTTTTATATATTACTACCATTGAAGTAACTGATTCTATGAATTCGGTGTTTATCTTGTTGTGCTAATGGGGTGTGGCAACTTGGACCGATGCATATATGTGCTTGGTCTTGAGTTGCAGCTGACTGATTGACAACACTTTTGCACGGAATCCATGACAACACGAACTTAACAAACTAATCAATATCAGTAATGATTTGTAAGGATTTACACTTCCAAGACTGTTATGATTTTATGTCCGGCTTTTATCACGGGATTTATCCACCAATCAAAATACGACTTATACAAATCTTAGCACTATGCCAGACTGATGACGTTCGACGGTATGAGCAGCCTAGCGTCCTTATTGGTCCTATGTCTGCCTAACCCGTTCGCTTGAGTCCAGAACACAATACCAGCTTCTGCAATATGAATCGGATCGAATCGTTTATTTCAGAAATACTCGGTTTATATATCAACCAGACAGACCACAACGTACCATAAAATAGAAAATAACATTTGTACAATATTTGGCCAAATGTGGCTGTAAACGTCGGAGGCAGCAGTCAATAAATGAACATAGCTTAAGAACAGTAAATCGTACAATAATAAATTATAGGTCAAAATAAAGCTTATAATAAGAGGAATATAAATATACATAATCTAATGATTGACTAGTTATACAATAGGAATATTTATAGAATATTAGTCCATTAATAGTCCTCGGAAGTTACTCGTGATTTAATCTTCACTGGGATATAACACCTCCCCCTTTTTTTGAAGATTCCAAGTTTAGATTCTGATTTTAAAAAATCATGTGTAACTTAAAATTCTCCAATATTCTCCTCCTCCGCGAAACAAAGTCGGATCCTTGTATCTCCAAGCTACAATTAATAGGACTTTATTTAAACCATGTTTCTCGCATTGAGTGGAGAATCCACTAGAAATGACTAGATGATAATGAACGACCTTTGATTTGAGGTCAGAGTTCGGTTCTTCTGAGAAAAATGAACAACAATTTGATAGAACTAAAAAGAAAGTACCAGGATACAGTGGGTTAGAGAACGCTGATCGGAGGCCTATGTTTCATTGGGGGTAACAGGCGTAAGTAAGTAAGTAGGTAATTATTCAATCGTTTATTGATTACATTCTAATAATTTTGAATTGATTACAATCTTTTGTTTTCATTTATATTTTGTGTTCATTTTCTATTTCATTGTAAACTAAAGTTTGTTCGTGGCCTTTTACAATTTTATTTACAAAATACATTACAATTACCTACACAATCGTCAAATCTAATACAATCAGATAGTAGTAGTAGTAGTACAATGATTACTGATACTAGTGATACTATTGTCACTACTAATGCAACACAACTGTCAATATCATCATCATTATCATTTGAAACAACTCCTATCACTGTAACAACAACAGCTATTGACAGCCAAATAAATGATAATAATATATCTAGTTCCTTCGTAATAGATAACAAGACAACTGATACATTGAAGCTAACTACAGATTCCATTGATATGAACACTGGCAATAATTCATCGATATTACCATACAATACAGAACAGATATCTAAAGATCCTTCATTTATTCAAGATGACAACGAACATTTGTGTAACTCATTCGAACAATTGAATACAGCAATTATGAAGAAATTCAATAATATTACTGATAATAATAGTAGTAAGTTAAAAGGGAAAATATTTTATTAAATTGTCTTTGAACAATGTATTTTGCGAATTACATTTCGAATAATCCAGTTACATATGCACACACACGCTTGTGAAGGTTATGATTCAGTACATCCCGGACGAGCCCGAAATTTCCCTGCTTCAGTTTGGGCACCTCGGGCAGTATCCCAGCTCTCACACAAATCGAATGATTTATGTGTCGCATATCTATTTGATGCCTCCTTGTATCAATGTTTATATGTTTAAATAAATAAATATAGTACATAACTGAATAGGACTTATAGATTATATAATCTAACTGTAACTGTCAGCTTATTAGCAACTTCATCATGTCTCCGAAGATTTAATCAGATGGCATGACTGGTCCAAATTTGTTGGAAGTGAAATAATTGTTGATAAGAACATTGGATGTTTATTGCTCTATATCTCTTAAATCTGAAATTATGTCATTTGACACTGATCTAACAGTTCCAGTGGTTAAAAGTTTGCCGTTAGACCTTGTTCTAAACCCTAATGTGATTGTTGGTGGGCACTGTTGAGGATTTCAAAGCTAGTACGAAATAATTATAAAGTGCTCCTTGGTTTTCAATGGTCCGTCAACTAAAATCAGTTTGTGATGAGTACAACTTACGAATCAAACCAATCTACACAAATCCCCATTACCAGTGGAGCTAGTCCATGTCGGGTAGAAACGGGTGTCTATCTCAGTACAATGGAAGATGGCCGCGCAGTTTCGTGGATTGGTTGAGGTTAGACTTTAACACCATTGGATGCCGGCTCAGCGGTCTAGTTCTGGGTTCGAATCTCGCGGGGTGCGGGATCGTGGATGCGCACTTCTGAGGAGTCCCACGCTATGACGAAACGGCCGTCCAGTGCTTCCAGGTTTTCCATGGTGGTCTAGCTTCAGTTGACTCATGATTTCAACCAAAAATATTAGGAAGTTGTCACACAATTTTTAACAATAAAAATGGATTAGAAATTGTCAAGGAAAATTCAATGTTTGGGACAAAGAGTTTGTGTAAACATGAAATAGGCTTGACAATGCTTATACAACGTTTAAAAGTTGATTTTTTTAGGTCAGTTCTATGGTATATTTTAGTTACGTGTTTCGTTATCGAGGAGTATGTTTCTGTTCCACTCATTATTCTCATCATGGTACTTGACACTAATTCTAACTAAATTCACTTAGCAATGATGGATAGTGGCTAGAAGTGGAATCCACGATGCGCGTTTCGTCCTATTTGGGATGTGCCTGCATCTCAGAGAGTTGATGTTCACTCTGGGACTGGAACCCAGTACCATTTGCTTCAAACGCCATCGCGTTATTCACTCAGCTACTGAGTCCTGATAGCCACTTGCTTGTGCAATGGGGTGAATTTGAATTCACTTGGTATTGTTTGGCTTGTATCTTTCCATTGAGGTTTAAGACTGCAATTGATCAGTCTGTTATTGGCATATCTGCATACTGTGCGTATGCCTCGATATTACCTTAATTCACAAGCTATTTGTAAGCAATGATGGATAGTGGCTAGCAGTACGATCTGGGACTCAGTAGCTGAGTGGATAACGCGATGGCGTTTGGAGCGAATGGTACTGGGTTGGAGTCCCAGAGTGAATATCAACTCAGGTGCAAATACATCTAGCTGACGAGTCCAAGATAGGACAAAATGCGCATCTTGGATACCACTGCTAGCCACTATCTCTATTTGTTTATGAAACTCATTATGTTTTCTCTTTCCTTCTCACATTACGGTTTGAACTAGGAATCTTCAAGTTGTATAATTTTTAATATTTAAAGCAGTCCTATAAAATGAAATGTTCTTTTATGTTCAAATTCTATTTTCATATTTAGTTCCTTCTAAATTGGCTCGTTTAGACCCTCAATTATTGTATACTTTAGCAGCACAACGTATTTATGATCTCTTGGGTATTAACAATGAAAATTCTATTTTTCCTAATGGAGACAATATTAAACAGAATAGTTGTAAAACAAAGAAAGACACTTCTAAAACATTGAATATTCCTGAAAGTTGTATCCGTGCAAGAGCTGTACTAACACCTTGTGATGGGACTAATGGATATGAAACTCGAATGCATTATAGGCAATTGACTGTTGGTACATGTAAGTTTTGTTTTTAGTTTCATAACTTAACTGTTTATAAGTAACAAGTTTATTTATTACAAAATGTATTTTAGACAGCAGTTACATCAATTTTCAATATACTTCCTTACTTACGCCCGTCAATGACCCTCATGGAGGACCATAGGCCACCCACCAGCACTCTCCATCCAACTGTGTTCTGAGCAGTCCTATCCAGTTGTTTCCAGTTGCTATTCATCTTTATCATATCTGTTTCCGATTCCTGACGCAGTGTGTTCTTCGGCTCTCCTCTTTTCCGTTTCCCTTCAGGATTCCAGGTTAGCGCTTACCGCGTAATGCACTTTGATGGTTTCCGTAATGTATGTCCTATCCACTTTCAACGTCTTATCCTAGTTTTCTCTTCAGCTGGAAATTGGTTTTTTCCCTCCCTCAGTAGGCTGTTTCTGATGGTATCAGGCTGATGGATATTGAGTACCTTGCTTAGACGACTATTTATAAATACTTGTACCTTCCTGATGATGGTTGTAGTAGTTCTCAAAGCTTCAGTTCTGTACAGACGGACTGTGTTGACGTTCTTGTTAAAGATTGTGACTTTGATATTGGTTGAGAGTTGTTTTGAGCTGCGTATATTCTTCAACTGTAGGAATGCTGTCCTTGCTTTGCCAATCCTTGCCTTTACGTCTGCGTCAGATGTTTCTTGTTCATCGATGATGCATCTCAGATACGTGAAAGATTCCATCTCTTCCAGAGCCTCTCCATAAAGTATAATTGTGTTGGTCTTCTCCGTGTTATATTTGAGCATTCTTTGTGTATGCTGAAACCCATTGATGCAGAGCCTGCTGCTGCACTGTTTGTTTTGACCTAAATTTGTTCGTAATATACTTCCTGGCGTATAGTAATCGGTTTTGAAAGTCAACCTTTGCAAGATCCAGTTTTACCCTATATTGACCAGTCAATATCACCTAAGATAAGTAACCGTTAAACTTTAAAGGTTAGAGGTGGGAAAGCGTATTCTGCTTCAAGTTACTCAGCTTGATAGCTTGAGACTTTGTCGGCAAACTTTACAAGTCCAACTAACTTCTTGTGAGAATGAGATACTTACATTCATTGATGACTTAGCAACAGCAAGTAATGTCATATTTGTTTAATCCTTCAAACTTATTAAGCTATGTTAATCAAGGTACAAATAACATGAAATACAGATGCTTAGTTTCCTTTTGATTACCTCTAAACCATCTAACATCAAAACATAGTCCACACTATGTTAAGCTATTAAAACAAGTGGTGGCTACATTGAAACTTGATTGATAGAGTTCAATCAGCAAATAAATAATCCAAGGAAACACAACATGAAACAGCACTCAGTGATTAATCAGCACAACTAACTATCTAAAATTCGGGTTGGTGGATATGAAGGATCCACCTATGGAAGTTGGAAAACTTTGACTCCAAACCAGTGGTGCATATAGGCTCCAATATCCTAAGTAAATAAATGGCGTATGAACCAATTGTTGGTCACCGGCTTTAATGGGACTGCATCTATTAGCGTTGCTCCAATGCCTTGTGGAATGTGGGTACTAGGTTTTGTAAACATAAAGTCAGAAATAATCCCATCAAAACGTTGTATACTCGACTGTTTACAGCCAAATTCACATCATCTCCCATATTATCATCAGCTCTTACATTATTAACTAGATATATAATCCTCTTAACCATTTCTTAGGTCTTACTACAATTAATGACTTCAGACACAGATTTCTTTCAGCTAAATAGTTCAGAGTACATCTCATACTTGTTATTTATTTATTTATTGAAACATATAAACATTGATACAAGGAGGTACCAGACAGATATGCGCCACATAAACCATTTGATTTGTGTGAGAGCTGGAATACTGTCTCGGGTGCCCAAACCGAGGCAGATGATTTTCTTAGGGGGCCACACACAGAGCCTTCGATCTTAAGGTCTAATCCACAAGGTAGTGGAGCAACGTCAGGAGATGCAGTCATACGGTAGCCGGTGACCAATAATCAGTCCGTACGCCATTCGTTCCTGGAACTAATGTACACCATTGGTTTGGAATCGAGGTTTTTCAACTCCACTAGGTGAATCTTCCACATCCGCTAACTCAGTTCAATCACCGGATATTCTCTTTTTATCCCCTCAATTTCGTAAACAATGAGAAGGTAGTGAGTAGAACTTCGCTTACAGTAGTTGTATACACATAATCATGTGATAACTTTTCAGGAAGGGTAGCTGACTCTTCTAACCTTCGACCATACCAGGGCATTTAGAGAGGCTTTATACTTGTTAACATTGTTCATCAACTGATTAGAAACTATTCACTAATATATTACATCATATATTTCATTTACATTCTCTTTTTCTTTTCACTTTCTCTATAGCACCAGATTGTCATTTATGTTTAGCTAATTATAATTTATCTTCATTAAATAATCAAAAATGTTCATTTATATCACCACATCATGCTACAATCTTCTATGATGATTGGACACAACATTATGAATTAATTAATTATAGTGAATATGGTACACGTGTAGATGGTATTATATATGGGAATGATATAGATAGAAAATTAATTTATATTCCAGAAGTAAGTTTAATGTTTTCTTTTATTTCAATAGAATTTTCAATGGTTGAGATCAAGAGTCATTTAAAGCTAGATCGTCATTGAAGATTTGAAAGTACTAAACGGCCATTGTGTCCTATTGTAGGACTTCTGAAAATTGCTCATCCACGATTCCGCCTCGCGAGATTCGAACTCAGGATCTATCAATCTCGCGCACGAGCACTTAACTACTAGACCACTGAGCCGGCCGGCATCCAACGGTGTTAATGTCTAACTTCAACTAATCCATGAAATTTAACGAACTGTTTTAATAATGATGAAACTATAACTAATGAATGAACCAATCAGGTCTTGAATTCTCGGCGCCAAATTCATTCATTCAATTTAGTTAAATAGAGTTTTGGCATTATAACTTATAACAGTTCATGATGTAAACCTTGAATCTAATTCTTCACATTAGTGTATAACTCTCATTTGGTTCCAGTTAGTAGGTGTACGTTCTCAATGTCACTTTAGTGTTGGTCAAATGTCGTCCATAAATTATGGTCTCACCGAAAATTCTTTTCATTGTCAAGAATGATTTGTTCATGTGAAGATGAAGTTGAATTATCAACATTTTGCTTTATATCAGAAGCAGGTTTTGTGGAAGTTGTAGTAATTTAGTGATTGAGAACATGAGTCGATTAAAGCTAGATCATCATGGGAAACGTGAAAGCACTGAACTGCCGTCTTGTCCTATTGTGGGACTTCTCAGCAATGCGCATCCATAATCCCCTCATGGGATTCGAACCCAGGTTAAGCCATTAGTAATACAAAACACTCCAGTAGTAAGTGAATAGTTAATTAACAATAATTCTGGTACGATAAAGCACTAGCAATTAATAAGTTAAATAAAAATCTTGTAGTTTTAATAGTTGAGATCATTAGTCATTTGAAGCTAGACCACCATAGAAAACCAAGAATCACTGGTCAGGGATGCGAACTGCCGAAGAGTCCCACAGTAGGACGAAACAGCCATCCGGATGATGTAGAGCCTGGTACATGTATGCATCAGGACAATTTCTAACAAAGAATCAAAACAGCTAGGTGAAATTGTCAAGCGGGAGATCGGAGTAGTAGTAGTAGTTGTTGTTGTGGTAGTAGTAATATCAGTGGCAATAAAAAGCAGACATAGAGAATACAATTCGTGAGTGATTTCACTTTTCAGGATCTAAGCGAAGACAAATAGCGAATAAATTTTTACTATTAGAAAAAATGTTGAGCGGTGTCACCAAACATCTCTAGCCACTGATCTCAGTTATTATGTGAACCTCAATTAGGTAGTTTTCACCTACCTATCAACATAACCCATTTTAATAGTAAATAGATCCGTGGACTGATTCCATACTTTCGTTTGGCTACCACTGGGAATGGGACACGTTGGTACTATTGGTTAATCCATTAATGTACTTTGTTTTCTACTTTCTTCATTATGTTCTAAATCTGTTCAATGTACAATTATTACTCTTCATCTTACTCTCTCTCTCTTTCTCTCCATGCGCAAACACATTTTTAGTCTTCCGATCTTGTTCATCGAGTTCGTAATCTCATAAAAACTGCTCCTAAAGAATTATCACCAAATTATCATACATCATCGGTTATTTCGGAACTCTGTGCTTCACCGCCTAAACGTCTAATGAAAATGTTAAGTAAACGACATGAAGTAAGTGAATTATACTTATTTGAAACTTATTTTTATTATGTCAATGAAAAAGAATTATTTACATGTGTTAGATCTTTCGTAGCCTCCAAGCCACCCGATTGAGATACACGCGAAGTTTCCAAAACAATGATTTGTGTACAATAGCGGTTCATTATTGAATAATACACAAAATTTAGTTACAAACTTTAACTTGTGAGGTGTCTGGGGCGTTTAAATGCATCCTTCAAGTATGAAAATAAGCAAGGCTTCCTGTAACAGTAACATAAAGAATAATTATAACATACGATAGTACAAAAGATAGCTGATAGCTGTGTCAAATGTCGATAAGAGTTTATCAACAAGCAAAGAGGGAACCTACTTATTTACTTACGCCTGTTGCCTCTCGTCGAGTAGCATAGGCTGCCCACCACCATTCTCCATTCATATCTCTTCTTGGCAATCCTTTCCACTTTTTTCCCAGTTGCTACTCATCCTTTTCCATGTTTGCCTCCAATTCCCGACTCAGTGTGTTATTTGGCCTTCCTCTTTTCCGTTCTTCTTTAGTTATTCCAAGTTAGTGCTAGCCTCGTGATGCAGTTTGGTGATTTCCGCGATGTATGTCCTATCAAACTCCAGCATCTCTTCCTAATTTCTTTTTCAGATGGGACCTTTTTGTATTCTCTCCTACAGTAGGCTGTTGCTGATGGTATTCGACCTACGGGCGAGGTTAAAATCGTCTAGTTGATTACGAGCTGTCCATTGTATTCCATGCTTTTCCTGAATTGTCAAGGTCTTCATACTCCTGTCGACCATTACCACAAAAAGAAAAAGAGGGAGAGTAGGCAACTAATTTAACAACTTGTATAACTAAACTCATTTCGTGATATAAACTATAAAATCAAACTTTTTAGTAGTAAATTTGTAGATTTTAATTCTAATGTTCACTGTTAAACATGAGTAACCTAGTTGCGATCTCATGGTATAGAGGTGATTGTACATGTACATACCACAATGTCGGCAGATTTCGAATGAGAATAAAATATTTGTATTCAATGCTTATTATTTTATATTATTTTTCCAACTTTAAGTTAGTTGCTATGGTGCGAAATTGCATATTGTATAAAAGTGGTAAAAAGTCGTCTTTGTGAGATATTGCCCTCGAATGCCCTGGTGTAGCCGAGGGTGGGGAGAGTCCACTCTCCCTCTCGAAACGCTCTCAAACGGCCACGCGTATACAGTCACTGCCTTTTCGTGGTGAGGGTGTTTTTTACTAGATTAAGAGGACGAGAAGCGAATGTGGATTAGATCACTGGTCAAAGGCTCCGGGTGTGTTCCTCCAAGAGAACCACTTGCTTCCGTTGTAATACCCGGGCATTATCCCTCACACAAATCGAATGGTGAAGTGTGGTGCACAGCTATTCGGTGCCTCCTTGTACCTATGTTTATGTGTTTAAATTATGTGTATATTCCTTAATGCAAACTGAAAAAGTAAGACATTGTGGTAGTCTAGTTAAATGTTTTCCAGTAAATTGATAAGAAATCCTTGAACCCTAAATTTAACATTCAGCAGCAAGTCATATTTACACTTTGAAAAACTTTCATGCTCCTCTATGGATTTAAATGGATACTATTCAATGGAAGATATCATCATTGGAACCCGTCCACTACTGTGGTCTCAGTTGGTTATAAGACAAGCTCACTCGTTTATTATTATTTCCTATTTTATTTAAACACATAAACATTGGTACGAGGAGTCACCAAACGTATATGCTCCACATAAATCATTCAACTTATGTGAGGGCTGAGACTGCTGCCCAGGTACCCAATCCGAAGCAGATGTGTTTCTTAAGGGGCTACATCCCGAGCCTTCGACTTACAAGTCTAATCAACAAGGTAGTGAAGTAACGTCAGAAGATAAAGTCCCATAGTAGCTAGTGACCAACAATAAATTCATGCACCTTTTGTTCCCTCAGGCTACTGGAGCCCATGTGCACCATCGGTTTGAAGTGAGGGTTTCTTCAACTGCCCTAGGTGGGTTCTTCATATTCACCAACTCAATTAAAACACTGAACATTTGCTTTTCCTCCTCTTAATTTCATAAACAACAACCCCTTGGCGACAATGTAGTAAAAGTAGGATTTCCCTGTCAGATCGTTTCAAGAAGGAGAACTGACTCTTCTCATTCTCAATCATTATTATTATCCTCATTTATACCTGTTATCTTTTTCTTTTATATACTTTACCAGGATTTATCACATATGACATCTATATGTGATTGTACAAGTTTACATTTTACTCGAAATGATAAATTTCTAGTAGATAAAACAGATTCATCACTCAATTTAATCACTGGTTGGGAAGGTTCTGCTATTTTAAGACATGGTTCAGTTATACAATTTGGTTGTTATAAATTTATATTTAGTTTAGTCAATCATGCTTTACCTTCCTATCCATCATTATCATCAACATCAACTTCAACATGGATGACAATGAATCATAGTTCAACACAATCTTCTTCTTCGCATGAATCACCAGTACTACTTACAGATTCTTTATCAGTAGTAACAAAAGATTTTTTAAAATTATCTAAAAATAACAATTTACTTGTGCACTAATTTTGTTTTATTCTTTTATTAAAATCAATAAAAAAACAAAAAAAGAAAGAAAGAGAAGAATAAAGAGAGAAAACGATATAAACAGCATTATCATCCCTATGAATTTCTACTACTTATAAACTACTTATATATAGATATATAATTTTGTATATTTGTGTTATATGAAATTTATTATTACAATTATTATTACTATTATCGCATTTTAACTACATAAAATCTCTTTTATCATTCATTGTCTTGACCTGAAATGAAAAAATGATCATTGTATGGTTAGTCAGTTCGTTAGTTACAACGTAGTACCAGGCATATACATGCAACGGTCCAAGTTGACATACCGCATTAGCACAGCAAGATGAAAACTGAATTCATAGGAGTGGTTAAGTCAATGGTAGTAATATGTAAAAGAAAGAAAGCATATAAGGATACAATACAGGAAGAAAGTATAAGTTCGTTGGAAGAAAGATATAAAGCGATTTGAATCTCTTAGTTTAAAAGACAAAGAGTGCATACAACTACGCCATTGTCGTCCGTTCTCAACTATGTGAAAAAGATCCTACAAATATTGGTTAAAAAAGTCACGGGGACCCCAAATAAGTAGTCACCACCTACCAACGTCGATCAGAATAGAAGTTAATGTATTCAAGCACAGCCCACATATAAAAATTTTTTAGCTCTTGTAGATGTGAATATGAAATGCGCAGTTGTGAGATGTGTTAATGTTGTCGACCACAAATCGTGCATCAGAAAAGCAGAGATAGTTCGAAGTCCCCTGCACAAGGTCGGACAGAGCATGTGATCGCTAATCTCTTGAGGCATGAAACATCCGCTACTTTCGGATGGCCTTTTTCCCAAATACACATCTCATGTGTAACACTCACCCCATATCACCCCACCTAACCTCACAGCAAACACACTTCACTTCAATCACAATCACTCAACTCCCACGGATCAATGAAATGCAACGCAAGGCGATTCAACACAAACCGACGATATTTAGTTGACTTCACTGTGCTACTGAAATACTCGACAGTAGTTTGTTGTTTAGTGGAATGCATGATCGGGAATTCGTTGTGTAAACTGAATATACTACTGATGAGGTGATGGTGAATTGTTGAGTTTATGCAGTAGTGTTGGTGAGTGATGAGATTGTGGAGTGTGGAGCGTAGTGTAGATTATGTGTAGAAGAGTGTGTGGTGTGTTTGTTGATGTGTGAAGAAGATTGCGTTGAGGCGTGCAAAGCTGTTGCAGATGTGAGTGTGGAGCGTGTTGTTGTGAGGTGTGTTAATGTTGTCGACCACAAATCGTGCATCAGGAAAGGAGAGATGGTTGGCAGTCCCCTGCACAAGGTCGGACAGGGCATGTGATGCCCACTCTCCTGAGGCATGAAACATCCGCTACTTTCGGATGGCCTTTTTCCCAAATACACATCTCATGTGTATCACTCACCTCACATCACCCCACCTAACCTCACAGCAAACTCACTCACTCACTTCACTTCAATCACAATCACTCAACTCCCACTGATCAATAACCAGACACAAATTCCACACATTCACTCTACATCCATATCCAATAACACATTCTTCATCACTACAATTCCCAACACATACAACTCAACCACCAACCCACTCAACCAATCACTCACTAACTCCATCATACGCACACACAACACCACTAATCATTCACAATCTTTACTGAGGTTGGCATGTTTCCCAAAATAATCACTGAATACACGCACAATCTTCACATGCACACACACATACACAATTTGTAAATTCTGTGAATCGCTGGTCGTCTAGTTTCCGAGTGCATTGATGTTAGGAAGGTGGGAGAGTGGAGAAACGTGTGCGTGAGTACAACGCTAACGATCAACATGAGAATGTGGAGGAGAGAAGAGGAGAAGAAAATGTGAGAACACTGTCGTGTGTATCAATCAATCAATCAATCAATCAGTCAATCAATCACACACAAACAGATATGCAGGATCAGTGGAATATAACTTGTTCGTACTGCATCCACTATCCACATAGTACTAGGCATAAATCAAGTCAGGTCAACCACTGATTGATCAATGTCAATTGAAATCACAGAATTTCTAAACATCAACAAATTAAAGCACTTCCATCCATGTTGTCCTACTTATGAAATTCGCGGTCAACCGAGTTGACTGATTGTGGTTTGTATTCGCCTGCACAAATATCTGGTGTTGTTGCTCTGTAATGCAACTAGTGAAAAGTGTTTAGATGTGCTGCTGACGTCAAGTTGTCAAGTTGTGACTATCACGTGTGTGAGTGGATTATGAGACCAGGAGATGGTGCAGCAGAACGCAAACTGATTGGATGTGATGCAATGGAACTCAACGCAACGCAACGTAACGCAATGGAATGCAATGCAACTCAAGGCGATTCAACACAAATCGACGATATTTAGTTGACTTCACTGTGCTACTGAAATACTCGACAGTAGTTTGTTGTTTAGTGGAATGCATGATCGGGAATTCGTTGTGTAAACTGAATATACTACTGATGAGGTGATGGTGAATTGTTGAGTTTATGCAGTAGTGTTGGTGAGTGATGAGATTGTGGAGTGTGGAGCGTAGTGTAGATTATGTGTAGAAGAGTGTGTGGTGTGTTTGTTGATGTGTGAAGAAGATTGCGTTGAGGCGTGCAAAGCTGTTGCAGATGTGAGTGTGGAGCGTGTTGTTGTGAGGTGTGTTAATGTTGTCGACCACAAATCGTGCATCAGAAAAGGAGAGATGGTTGGCAGTCCCCTGCACAAGGTCGGACAGGGCATGTGATGCCCACTCTCCTGAGGCATGAAACATCCGCTACTTTCGGATGGCCTTTTTCCCAAATACACATCTCATGTGTATCACTCACCTCACATCACCCCACCTAACCTCACAGCAAACTCACTCACTCACTTCACTTCAATCACAATCACTCAACTCCCACTGATCAATAACCAGACACAAATTCCACACATTCACTCTACATCCATATCCAATAACACATTCTTCATCACTACAATTCCCAACACATACAACTCAACCACCAACCCACTCAACCAATCACTCACTAACTCCATCATACGCACACACAACACCACTAATCATTCACAATCTTTACTGAGGTTGGCATGTTTCCCAAAATAATCACTGAATACACGCACAATCTTCACATGCACACACACATACACAATTTGTAAATTCTGTGAATCGCTGGTCGTCTAGTTTCCGAGTGCATTGATGTTAGGAAGGTGGGAGAGTGGAGAAACGTGTGCGTGAGTACAACGCTAACGATCAACATGAGAATGTGGAGGAGAGAAGAGGAGAAGAAAATGTGAGAACACTGTCGTGTGTATCAATCAATCAATCAATCAATCAATCAATCAATCAATCAGTCAATCAATCACACACAAACAGATATGCAGGATCAGTGGAATATAACTTGTTCGTACTGCATCCACTATCCACATAGTACTAGGCATAAATCAAGTCAGGTCAACCACTGATTGATCAATGTCAATTGAAATCACAGAATTTCTAAACATCAACAAATTAAAGCACTTCCATCCATGTTGTCCTACTTATGAAATTCGCGGTCAACCGAGTTGACTGATTGTGGTTTGTATTCGCCTGCACAAATATCTGGTGTTGTTGCTCTGTAATGCAACTAGTGAAAAGTGTTTAGATGTGCTGCTGACGTCAAGTTGTCAAGTTGTGACTATCACGTGTGTGAGTGGATTATGAGACCAGGAGATGGTGCAGCAGAACGCAAACTGATTGGATGTGATGCAATGGAACTCAACGCAACGCAACGTAACGCAATGGAATGCAATGCAACTCAAGGCGATTCAACACAAATCGACGATATTTAGTTGACTTCACTGTGCTACTGAAATACTCGACAGTAGTTTGTTGTTTAGTGGAATGCATGATCGGGAATTCGTTGTGTAAACTGAATATACTACTGATGAGGTGATGGTGAATTGTTGAGTTTATGCAGTAGTGTTGGTGAGTGATGAGATTGTGGAGTGTGGAGCGTAGTGTAGATTATGTGTAGAAGAGTGTGTGGTGTGTTTGTTGATGTGTGAAGAAGATTGCGTTGAGGCGTGCAAAGCTGTTGCAGATGTGAGTGTGGAGCGTGTTGTTGTGAGGTGTGTTAATGTTGTCGACCACAAATCGTGCATCAGAAAAGGAGAGATGGTTGGCAGTCCCCTGCACAAGGTCGGACAGGGCATGTGATGCCCACTCTCCTGAGGCATGAAACATCCGCTACTTTCGGATGGCCTTTTTCCCAAATACACATCTCATGTGTATCACTCACCTCACATCACCCCACCTAACCTCACAGCAAACTCACTCACTCACTTCACTTCAATCACAATCACTCAACTCCCACTGATCAATAACCAGACACAAATTCCACACATTCACTCTACATCCATATCCAATAACACATTCTTCATCACTACAATTCCCAACACATACAACTCAACCACCAACCCACTCAACCAATCACTCACTAACTCCATCATACGCACACACAACACCACTAATCATTCACAATCTTTACTGAGGTTGGCATGTTTCCCAAAATAATCACTGAATACACGCACAATCTTCACATGCACACACACATACACAATTTGTAAATTCTGTGAATCGCTGGTCGTCTAGTTTCCGAGTGCATTGATGTTAGGAAGGTGGGAGAGTGGAGAAACGTGTGCGTGAGTACAACGCTAACGATCGACATGAGAATGTGGAGGAGAGAAGAGGAGAAGAAAATGTGAGAACACTGTCGTGTGTATCAATCAATCAATCAATCAATCAATCAATCAATCAATCAATCACACACAAACAGATATGCAGGATCAGTGGAATATAACTTGTTCGTACTGCATCCACTATCCACATAGTACTAGGCATAAATCAAGTCAGGTCAACCACTGATTGATCAATGTCAATTGAAATCACAGAATTTCTAAACATCAACAAA